CCCGATGCGGGGCTCGATCCCAGGACCCTGGGACCATGACCTGAGCCAAAGGCAGACGCTTAACGACTGAGCCACCCAGGCGCCCCAGTATGAGTATATTCTTAATCACATTCTGACACTGGAAAATTGGATTCAGTTTATTACTGGTACTGTATCTTTATTTTGATTGTGCCTTTCAGATTTTTTTCAATAGATTTTCCCATTTCTCAAAAATCTTACTAGCAATTTCTGCACTGATTATTTTTTTAACCCACTGATACCAGCTTTTCTTCCATTCTCTTCTATTTAGGTGTTTAAAAGTTTGACTTGCCTTTAAAAAAAGTTTATATGGAACTGTTCAGGGACCCCAGGTAGCCAAAACAGTACGGAGAGAGAAAATCTAAGTCGGAGGAGTCAAACTTCCCAGATGTGAAACTTACTACAAGCTACAGTAATTAAGGCAGTGGTGGACTAGCATAAGGATAGACATGTAGACTAATGGTAGAAGAGAATTGAGAGTCCATAAATACACTCAAGCATCTATGGCCAGTTGATTTTCTACAAGAGAGCCCAGACTAGTTAATAGGGAAAGAATAGTCTCTTCAACAAATGGTACTGGACAACTGGATAACCACATGCAAAAGAATGAAGTTGGAGCCCTACAACATGGATGAACCCGAAAACATCATGCTACGTAAAAGAAGCCAGGCACAAAAGACCACATTATGAAATGCCCAGAATAGGCAAATCCATAGGGTCAGAAAATAGACTGATGGTTGTCAGGGCCTGGGGAAGGCAGGGGTGAGGATGTGAGTATGGGGTTTCTTTTTTAAGGTGATAATACTTTAGATACTGATGAAAATTGTACAGCTCTGTGAATATACTAAGAAGCACTGAATTGTACACTTTAATAAGGTGACTTTTATGGCATGTGAATTGTATCACAATAAAACTGTTATTTTTAAAAATGAGAAAGGCAAGGTTATCGATCAGCTCCATGGCACAGCTGTCCTAGAATATTCTCTCATTCAAGGACCAAACTCAACTCTGTGATTTACATGTTTTTCCCCCTTAGAACCCATCTCACCTTGTAATCCAGTGGTTGAGTGTAGATTATCTGCTAACAGATGAGGATACTTGTAACGGTCCCTTATTCCTACTCAAACCAGGTGACCCACATAATGGCAAACTGGCAGTTTCTAGTTACAGTTTTATGTAAATAAAACCTATTTATCTGAAATATTTGGTATGGGATCAGAGGAAATTATGGAATCTAGATCCCTTTGGGCTACTGTGGGTTTTTCTGTCTATTCATTTTCTTTTTTTACATCGATGAAAAAAATATTCTAAAGTCAGAGTTCATAAATGTCTTTTACTTTGTGATCTTAGTCGTGTGTTGTTTTAAATTAATAAATCCTATATCAGAGGTCAGGGGGGATAAATGGTTAATGGGTTCTCCCAGCTGAAATTCAATCTTAAATTGTTTCCATATGGAGCTTTCAGTTAAACCTTTCTTAAAGATAACCACTGTTCTTTTTTTTTTCTTTTTAAGATTTTTTTTTTTTTTAATTTATTAGAGAGCATAAGCAGGGGGAACACGAGAGGGAGAAGCAGACCCCCACTGAGCAGGGAGCCTGATGTGAGGCTCGATCACAGGACCCTGGAATCATGACCTGAGCCAAAGGCAGACACTTAACTGACTGAGCCACCCAGGCGCCCCAAGATAGCACTGTTCTGAAAGCATACTGAGGTCCAGCTCTTAATTTGCTTTCTATATTTTCCACATTTGGAATGAAGAATTTTTTTCTTATGCTAGAATAAATAAGGAATATTTATTGGTGGGGTTTTTTTCTCTCTACAAATGCTGATTTTTTTTTTTTAAGGTTTTATTTGAGAGAGAGAGAGAGAATGAGTGATGGGAGAGAGAGAAGCAGACTCCCTGCCAAGCAGGAAGCCCAATGTGGGGCTCTATCCCAGGACCCAGAGATCAAGACCTAAGCCGAAGGCAGACACTTAACCGACTGAGCCACCCAGGCGCCCCTATGAATGCTGATTTTTAAGTTAAATTTAGGGGCGCCTGGGTGGCTCACTCGGTTAAGTGTCTGACTCTTGATTTCCGCTCAGGTCATGAGATTGAGCCCCTCTTTGGGCTCCGTGCTCAGCGGGGAGTCTGTTTGAGGATTCTCTTTCTCCCTCTGTCCCTCCCCCCACTCATTCATTCTCTCTCTCAAATAAATAAATAAAATCTTTTTAAAAGATAAAAGTTAAAATTTAAGAACAGGTAAATGTGTCTTTTACTAATATTCAACTGACTGACTCCTGTTATGAAGTAGAAGGTATAAATTTTCATATGAAATTATGAACGTAAGAGTGGACAGATGTATATGATGTGATGGGAATTTGGACAGTCACATTCCGGCATCTACTGCTCACCTCACCATTTCCTAGTCTAATGAGATGGTGTCATGGAGAGAGCCCTATCTCCAAAGCTAAGGCCCTTCCCCCTAGATTTGTCACTGGATCCACTGGGTAATATCCACAGGTGCTGGGGAGTGAATAATAGGGCTGGAGAGCTGCCATGGAAACTGCATTGTGAGGCCTGCGTGAGGTGCTTTTATTAAAAAGCCTTAGAACCTAAGATTACAATATTTTTACAGTCGTCTTTGGATTTCTCTGAGAAGTATCTGGGGCTTCGAGTGTCCATGTCCTTCTATTAGATTTTTCCTGAGAAATCGTGAACACGTATCCCCTTCTTGTATTGGGATTTTCTGTTCTGACACTCTGCCGCTGTTTGGAAAGGTTAACTCAGTGAGCTGATGGGTGTAACAATCAGGAAGAAACTTTTCATTTCATAATTTTTCTTAGTGCTTGAATTTTTTTTGAAAAACAAAAGTTTTATAAGAAAAGTTACACTGAGATAACTAGTTTTTGATGAGAAGATAAGATGATCTCTCAAGATTAGGATTTTAGAGTTCAAACTCATGTCTGAGTTTAAGTTCCGGCTCTGTCCATTCTTGCTACCTCACCCCCACCCTGTCCATGACCTACCCAGAGTCTCCTAACAGCTTCTCCTCTTTCTTACTAAGTCTGATCCTCAGTGCACTTTGGGGACTCTCTTCATCTTGTATCTAGGAAGCATCTCAACGCAGACTTCCCATCGGTTTTCTTGTAGTTAAATAGAAACAGCAAGGACTGAAGTATGAAAGGACGAATGACAGTGGTAGCCAGCCTGGCAGTTCAGGGCGCATATTCCTTTTTCTCCTAAGCATAGCATACTTTGATGAGCTCTACCCTTTATCCTACATAACTGCTCTTCACAACCTATTATTCATGACCAGCCTGACGTTCTTGCTCAAAAAGTGGCTCTTTCCATAGCTGTCCTGTAGTCTGATCAGAGTTAATGCACTAGACGCACATGGTCACACGAGAGGATAATCTTTCCATGGATGTTTTTAGAACCATAAAGCACCAGGCATGCCTGCGTCCTACTGGCTCCGACTAACCTCTACTCTTATATATTTTTAGGCTTTAAAGGAGATAGATGAAGTTGGGGACCTGTTGCAACTCAAGTATTCCCGTCATCGGTTGGTGCCTCTACTGGACAGGCCCTTTGACGAGACTACCTATGAAGAAACAGAAGACTGAGCCTTTTTGGTGCTCCCTTGGAGGAACTCTCCCTCCCCCAGGACAGCGTGTGGCCTTTCTGAGCCAGTTCCAGGAACCATACTTCTGTGGCCATCTCACGCGAGAGACGTTTCCTCAACTACTGACGGTGGCCACCTCGTTCTAAATGGCATTTTGTAAATAGTACAAAAACTGCTTCACATTCTTCCTTTGCTACATTTCACCTTTAAGAAAAGAGGTGACCTCACTCTACTTTTTTGTCCATTAAAAATATTTTATTTTATAACTCTTCTTCTTATGAAATCCCGCTGACCCTAGCCTGGCCCTGGCTAACCACACAGGCCATTACCCTCTCCCCGCTGCCTACAGACTTGGCCCATCCAAAGCTCCTGCTCGCCCCGGCACTGCAGCCTCGAGACTCACCCAGCCCTCCTCCCCAGGGAGCAAGTGCCTTCCACTTACTCCCAGTCCAGGTCTCAGAGGCCGCCAACCTTGGAAACCTTACTGAACCAGTCAAGTGTTCAACCTAAGTGTTCTCCCTTTTGTCTGAAGTTCAGCTGTTTAAGGAAAACCGTAAACACTAACATGGCTAAAAACTGCCCCTCGTCGTGCAGCTCGCCCTGGCCAGGAGCCTCCCAAGGTTTGGTCTTGTTCTGGTCACCAGGTGATTTCTTCTTTCACCATCAGATATTGATGATGGTCACTGTCTGAGGGGTATGTCCAATTTCTGGGTCCTTCCTAAGCTCTAAACTAACACTCCCACCTGCTATTTAAAATGCTTACATTGTTGAGAAAGCCTCCCCCCCGCCCCCGCCCCGGTCAGCCCTGTGTGGTGAGGCCGCCTGCCGCCTCCCTGTGTGTCCTGTGTGCACAGTGGCCCGGGGGCCGGGGCCGCGGGCACAGAGCTGGCAGAACGTCCGTGCTTGGTTCCTACTGCTTTCTGCCTTTCAGAACTGTCAGCGCCTCTGCCTGGGTCTGGGTCCAGATTAGGATTTAAACTGATAAAAGAAAATGTTGGTAAATCCTCTGCTCAGAAATCATTTGTCATGTTCCTGTTTAAGGATTAAAGTTAACTTACCCTTTTTAGAAGCTGACCCATTTAAACATTACTCTTCTGAGTGCTAGTTCTCCTTTACTCTTAATGTCCTAAGACAATTCTAATCTGGCATCTGGGGTTTAGGGTCTCTTTTTTCTTTTATTTCCTCACCCTGCCACCCCCACCCCCTGAGAAGTTCTGAACACATATCTTCACTAAACTGGGATCCTCTATTTTGACTCTTTTCATACTAGGTAAGGGGACTAGTTTCAGAGAGCTTTAAACTGCTTGACCAAAGAACAAATCTGAAAACCACCATGTTAAAGCTCTTCCTTTTTTCTGTTGACCAAAGCTTAAGTGAAGAGAACTTTTGACTTTATTATGCCCAAGACCAGCTTGTCTTTTAGTAGCCATCGAGTAATATGGGGGAAGGATCAGGAACAGAATGGGAAAACACTGTGTGAAAGTAGCTTTGCACGTCTCTATTTTTGAAATCACCCCTTGTATTGGTAGAAATTCTCCTGGGCTCCTTGTCATCAGCCGCGGTGCTTGTGCAGACACAGTGGTGGAGGATGGGAGCAACAGGATTGTCGGTGAAGTTTTGTTTTCATGTCTTAAGTTCTCTTTGGTCACTCTCAGCATCTGAGAGCCTTCAGCCTTGGAAATACTCCAAGGTTTTGTTTTACTTTTTTAAAGAATAGAAAAGGGTGAATGAAAGAACCAAGTAGAAATGCAGGGACTGTATTTAGCATGGACAAACTGAGGTAAAAAAAGACATTGTGGTAACTAAGTCACTAGTCCTGTAGAATAAAATACATTGCTAACCTTTACATCTTGTTCCTCACCATAGAACCCCACTAGAATACCAGATAGCTTTTGCACTGCAGTCAGTTATCAAATGGTATAGGGTTTGCAAAAGTCCCAAACTTCAAGCAATGAACTTACCTTGCTACTCTTTTTACTTTGGTTTGCATGAAGTCACTGCAATTTAAAATGTCAGTATGGGCATTTAAATACATTATATATATATATATGTAATATATATCACTTTGCTAGTGCAAAGTTATGTCAGAATAAATGTAGTTAAGTTACAAGTTTATTTTGAAGAGACAAAACTGTGATCCACCCAGAACCTCTGCCTTCTAGAAGACAAAATGTTTTACATGATAGTTGTCTCTTGGAGACCGTAATAGAAATCTAGAGTCCAGTCATATCACAGGTATCATTATTTAACCAAGCACTGGGGGAAATGCAGGCGTATACGAATATAGTCACTGGGAAGGAGTAGACTGAAGCATTGTTCCGTGCGTGGTTGAACACAGCCTGACTCACGAATCTGATGGGATGCACATAGGCGTCAGCTAACAGTTACTACCAAAGTTGATAATCGGGAGTCAGTCAATAGAGATGTGACAAATCCTTACCACTTCCTCTGATCCCTCTTTCTATTTAGCATTGCCTTTATCCATTTCAGGCTTACAAGACCTTTTCCTGCTGATCACAATAGAAACCAGGAAATTTATAACTAGGAGACATCAGAATCACGAAGAATGGATCAAGAGGCAGTGGCAGACTCTCCTCCACCTTTATTTTAAAAGTTTCACCCTAAAATATGGCACACACTCTACAGTAAGTAAATAGTGAAAGTGTGTGTTCAGGGGTGGGGTCCTTGGAGCACTCTAACTTTTTGCTTTGCTCTGGAAAATTTCTTCCCGTTAAAAATCATCCTAGTCTCCCCAACCCCAAAGTCCTGCTTGCTTATTTGAAGAACTTAGCAGTTTAGTCCTGTAGTTACTATCTTCAATTTTCACGACAGGGTGAGGACTTTAGATGGTCAAAACACGCTTCTTCCTGAAGCAGTCCCGGAGGTGCACAGAACTACCCTAGGCGACGGCTGAGGGCTATACGCACACAATGACTCCTGGAACACTAATCAGAAAACAACGGCTGACAGCTGCGTCTGCTTAACGCCCTTCCAGAAGCCCAGGAATGGAATATTGTGCCAATGATTTGTCTCTACAATCCCTCTGTCCTGCATTTGGCCTTTCTGTACCTTCCCATTCTTGAGTTTTAGAATGTCAACTCCAGAGAAAAACTCGATGGTGGTGCTGTGCTTAGAGGATCGCTGGGTCAGATACCCTGTCCTGGGACACAGCCTTACATTTCAGGAGGAGTCTGGGGACTTCTTTCTTCCCTACTTGAGGGAGGCTGTATCTAAGTTTGTTACGGCTAGTCCAGTCTGGCTGAATTCTGTAGTGTTTAATAGGCTTTGCTTCATTTCTGTTAGTGAAAACCAGGAGGAAGAATGGCTCACATGGAGAGACTTCCTGGCTTCTCAGGGAAGGGGAAAAAAGCAATGCTGCCAACCACTACCTCCCTGTTTCTCCCCCCAACCCTGCTCCCTTTCCAAACTGATGAGGCTCTCTGGCCCCTAGTCCTGGATTGGGAAGCAGCACAGGACTGCTAGTCATGCCATAGGCAGTGAAGAAAAAGAATTTGGGTAATTCTTATTTTGTAAGAATTTGTAGATACAACTGACGGGCTCCAGGTTCTCTTGTATAAAGAACTACTGTGACCTAATTCCCAGAGTGTCTTTCCTTTCCTGGTGTTCGAGGTAAGCCAAGATGGGCTTTCATCTCTTCTGGCTGCAACTCATGTGGTCAGCAAAGGGGGAAGAGTGTGGGGGCTTTTCCTTCAATGTCTGTCTTCATGAAAATCAGAACTATTGAGCCTTTCACACAGGTAAACTCAGCATAGCCCAAGGTGGTCGTCAAGGGGGAGTTATGAGAATCAAATGATTCTTCTTGGCTTTTGAGCAGCTACTTGCTTAAATGCAGCCCTAGAACCTAAAGATCTGCTATCTGCTTAACATGGAAGCTCAGTGCCCAGCCAGCAGGCATCTTAATCCATTAAGCCAGTTAATCAAAATACCTTCCACATGGCAAAAAGCATATCTTCTTCTCTCCTCAGATTTATCCACAGGAAATGTAGTGTTTAGGCTCCTACCCAATGCCCATGTGCCCAGATAGCCTAATTAGAAGGCTGGCTTCCTGCCTTATACAGAAGAAATGCTAGGATGAGCCAATGATCCTTTTGCTTTTAATTGTATGGAAAATGTTGCCCCTTTTGTCATTTCCAGTGACTTCTGTTTTCCAAGCACCTTTTGCTATAGATTCTTTTTTAGACGGGGGATCCAAAGGACTTAGCTTGTGGACTTGCTGAAGTTGTTTATTATTCTAGTCTTCTTGTGAGTCTGGAGGTATACCCAGTCCGCCCTTGGGAGTGGCTTGATGGAGCCGTGGGCAAGGTCTTGTTTACCACATAGTACACACGATAGATGGCCTTGAACTGTGACTCTTTGTGGTATGATGAGTTCTAATAAACTGGCCCTAAAGAATGCAGTGGTTATTAAACTGTGGTTATGTGTTTTTGATGAAGCAATACCCAAAGCTCTGTTCCTTTGGAGAAGTAGTGGGGAAGGTGAATGCAAGGTAAAGACGAGAGCACTACCCTGATGTGCTCAGTGTCCTTCCTTGTTGCCATCTCTGTGGGTAAGTGGATCCCTCCCTGCACCAGCAGCCTTGAGTCCGTTCCGAGTCTGCTTTGCCCCCACAGTTTTCAGGTTTCTTGTGCAAAGCTCCGTGGGTCAGGGCAGGCCTTCTGTGGGGATGTGGGACGTATTCCTGACTGGGGTAGGTAGGTCGTGTTACCTCAGTGATGTTAAACCAATGGTTGGAATGATAAAAAGCATCCTTGATGGTCCTTTACAGGATACTGGTGAGATCACTGTGTCAGGTCAGCCAGCATGCCCACACGGTCTTGATGATCCCTCTCTGTATAAAGGTAGCAAACATTAAGAGAAGGGGGAAAGAGAGTAAGAATAGAGAAATCACTTATGGGGAGCCGAGATCTTATTTTGTTGGCCTTTATTTTTCCATTGACCAATTTGCCTGTAAACTGGACTTTGCAAGAGGTGCTGTGATAATCCCTCTCCATTGCTGTGATGCTTACATAATCTGAGAGAGTGAGAGGGGAAAATATAAATAAAAAATTTTAAATTCTAGTAATGTGTTAAAAATGTCATGCTTCTCTCTTTCTCTCTTACCCCCGTCTCCTGTTTTTGCCAGATGATTTTTTTTTTAACCTTGTTGGATGACTGTGAAGCTCTAAATGATGGGTTGGGTTAGGTGTATCCGTTTGAGAGTACATGTTAAGAACCGGAGGGGAACTACTTGAGATGACGTAAGAGTCATCCCATGCAAATATATTGTTTTGCCCAAATAAACTATTCAGAAAGCTGTCTCTGCCTTTATTCATTCAACCAATAAATACTGAGTGCTGTTTCCATGCTAGGCACTGCACTGAGTATGACCAATACCAGCAGCAAACAAATAGTAAACAAGTAAGCATAGGGACACATATATCATTTTACAAACTGGTAAGTGCTGTGAAGGAAAAGTAAAGAGCATGATAAAAACACATAACCGGTTGTGGTCTAGAGGTGACAGAGAAAACTTTTCTAAGGCACGGAGGATCCGATGCTCCAGGAGCAAAGGGAAGGATGACAAGGCGGGCTGGCGAGGAGGAGGCAGAGGTTTGCTGCGCTGGGCTGTCGGGGGTGAGCAGTGATATTACACATTGGGGAAAACCAAGGAAGGTTTGCAAGCATTGAAAAAGATCCCTAGTGTGCTCTTTTGGTAGACATTGGCAAGTTGGTAAAATGTATATGGACATGCAAAGGACCTAGACTAGCCAAAACAATTTTGAAAAAGAAGTTGTAGTACCTGATTTCAAAGCTTTTTACAGAGCTATAGTAACCAAGACTGCATTTAGCATTAGAATGGCCAGAGAGAACAAATAAGACACCATAAAAGTCCAGAGATAGTGCTCACTTCAGCAGCACTTACACTAAAATTGCAGTGATACGGGGAAGAGAGGCATGGCCCTTGCGCAAGGATGAAACGCAAATTCACGAAGCATTCCATATTTCCGAGAAACGTATACAATTGTTGAATCACTGAAACAAATATAACACTGTATATTAACATACTAAAATAAAAATAAAAAGTCCAGAAATAGACCCACATATATATGGGTAGTTAATTTTCGACAAAAGTGCCAAGTTAATTCAACCAGGAAAGTACGGTTAGTCAGCTAATGGTGCCGGAACTGAGTATCTAGGGGAAAAGACTTTTAACCCTTACCTCACATCATATACAATAACTCAAACCATAGATCTGAACATCAAAACTATAAAACTTCCAAGAGAAAATATAAAAGAAAATCTGGTTCTCTGGATTAGGCAACAATTTCTTAGAACACAAAAACAGGGCTCAAAAATATTGATAAACTACTTCATCAAAATGAAAACTTTAAGGCTTGATAAAGGGAAAATGCAAACTCCAGACTAGGATAAAACATCCACAATATATATCTAACAAAGGCTTTCCATCCAGAGTATAGAAAGAACCCTTAAAACTCAATAAGGCAAGACTATTCACTAAAAAACAGGGAAGGGGCGCCTGGGTGGCTCAGTCATTAAGCATCTGCCTTTGACTCAGGTCATGGTCCCGGGGGTCCTGGGATCAAACCCCACATCGGGCTCCCTGCTCCACGGGAAGACTGCTTCTCCCTCTCCCACTCCCCCTGCTTGTGTTCCCTCTCTCGCTGTGTGTCTGTTAAATAAATAAAATATTTAAAAAAAATAAAAAATAGGGAAAAGGTTTGAACACTTTTTAAAGATTTTATTTGGGGGTGGGGCACCTAGGTGGTTGTCAGTTAAGTGTCTGCCTTCAGCTCAGGTCATGATCTCAGGGTCCTGGGATTGAGCCCCTCATCGGGCTCCTGCTCAGTGGGGAGTCTGCTCCCTTTCCCTCTGCCCCTACCCGCCCCGCCCACCCCCACGTTCCCACTCATGCTCACTCTCTCAAGTAAATAAAAGATTTTTAAAAAGATATTTTATTTTTAAAAAGATTTTATCTATTTGAGAGAGTGCACATGCACAGGCATGCCAGGTGAGGAGCAGAGGGGAGGGAAAGGGACGAGCAGACTCTGCGCTCAGCAGAGAGCCTGATGTGGGACCCTGAGATCACGACTTGAGCCAAAACCAAGAGTAGATGCTTAACCCACTGAGCCAGCCAGGCGCCCCAAAAGATTTGAACAGACTCATCACAAAGGGAGATATACTAATGGCCAAAAAAGCACATGGAAAAATGTTCAACATCTCTGGTCATCGGGGAAATGCAAATTAAAACTATAATAAGATTCCACCACTCACCCACCCACTAGAATGGCTAAATTCAAAAAAAGTTACAATAATGGGGCGCCTGGGTGGCTCAGTTGTTAAGCATCTGCCTTCGGCTCAGGTCATGATCTCAGGGTCCTGGGATCGAGCCCCACATCGGGCTCCCTGCT